GTCGAATGTACCATGCACATATACTCTTGACTACTAGGCATTCGATCGGAACCACTGGAGCAGTGGCAAGTGACATGTAGCTGTTAGCGTCTGGCCGACTGAACTTGAAAGCTGGTGTAGCTATGAATGAATATTTTAGACCTCGATGAATTGATGTTGCCATCTTGAACAATCGGAACGATTTTCATTGGCCGACTACAATCCCATTTTGAAAGGTACTGCTGACTAATGAGCTACTATTGGATCGTAGTAGTGCCAACGCCTTGGCTCAACATTTTTCGAATCTCACAGTATGTATCATGTAAATGGGTAAGGGGACGAGAATGACGCGGTTGTGGTGTTCAGCACGGCTATCATGACCAGGTACTCATTCTAATAGCTGATGTTTGTCGTAGGCACCATACTGCTTGTTTCAAGTCGCGGTACGCCGTCTCCGCTTCCCTCTTGCTGTTTCCTCAGGTTCTGCCCGGAAAACAGTCTCCTCCTCCACGTCAGCAGTTGTATCGACCAGAAGCGAACCATCTGTAGCAATATAGTAGCCTGCAGGAACATATCTCTCGCTAGATGAAACATACTCCAATACGAGCCTTATCACTTTCTCCATGCTCGTCACCTGGTGCTACAGCCTCAGGCACGATACTGAGTCAGAAGCACCTCGATCTTCCCAGTATCATTGTTACGCGGGCTGAGTGCACTGCTACATTTCCAAACAAGCGGACGGACGGTGCGACAATACTGGCAGTACAGAGAGTTAGAAGGAAGTCGGACGGGGACAATGTCAGCGACTGACACGGATGTCCAAACCGTACAGTGCGTGCTGCACAGTATGGTTTGTCATCGATATAGTCTAAGCGAACTTGTTGCACATGTCAGAAGTACAGACATGGAACATGCAAACTTACATTACATCGTGACGAGTCACTCCGGATCCATAGATCTGGATGAAAATTTCCCAGACCCGGCGCGCCACTCACCCGCCTAAAGTACTCCGGCAATTTCAAATTCCTGTTGGCGTTCTTATAGGTGAACGCTTCAACCCCCAGCCCTAGATGTTGCTGGGCATCCTCCAGAGAAGTCAGAGTGGTTAGCAGAATGAACTGTGGCAGCTTCAAGCTGTATGTATCAATCGCATAACATATCTGACAACACATGCCAGTGACGCTCAACTCGGGACCTCAAGGCTCAGCGTTCAACGTTCAGCCCTCATCTCCGTCGAGTATGTGATAGAATCCTTATAATCGGCGCCCAAGAGTTGCGTTATGCCAGGTCACGCCGAATCGCCACGTTCATGTCTACTTCAAAAGGTATCGCATCGATACTGGGTCTGCTCAGGGAATCGGTCGCGGCATCGCTCTTCGGCTTGCACGGGATGGCTTTGACGTTGCTCTCAATGATTTACCCAACAAGGATGCCGAGCTGGAACTGGTAGCGACTGAAATCGAGAGCCTTGGGAGACAGTCTGCATCGTTCCTGCCGACGTGTCCGTCAACAAACAAGTCAAAGAGATGGTCGATGGTGCCGTTACAAAACTTGGTGGACTGGACGTCGTCAGTCGCTCTTCTCATTTCACTAGACGTGTTCCTCGAATGTTTATCGTATACAGATGGTGCTAATGCTGGAATAGTAACACTTGCCTCACTTGTATTATGTACGATCTGGGTCAAAGTCTACGATTGACATTTCTCATGTCCTCCACTAGCGACTGTAGAGTTATGGGATCATATCTTCTCAGTGAACGCCCGTGGAACTTATCTGTGTTATAAGTATGCTGCCATGCAGATGATTGAACAGGGACGCGGCGGTCGAATCATTGGTGCAAGCTCACTCGCGGGCAAAATGGGTGCGTCGTATAGATATGAATTTGCATGAGTATTTTTATCCAAATGACCAAATAGGCTTTCCCTATAACTCCTCGTATGCAGCGAGCAAATTTGCAATTCGAGGGTTAACTCAAGCTGCGGGCAATTGCTGAGATACTCGTATGGACAGCCTTTAATAAAGACCGCTTGACAGCTATTGAGCTCGGTCAATATGGCATTACTGTAAATGCATATGCTCCAGGCGCGATACAGACTCCTATATGTAAGGTCGAACCGATTTCCGATTTCCCAGCTAACTCTTGGTTAGCCAAGGCTATAATGGATGAGTCTGGGAACGTAGATTATGCACGATTTATCGACGATCCTTGTTCGAGGAAGTGGATGATGTCTATGAGCAGAGCACGATGGACATTCTTACTGAATACCTGCTTTCTTCACAATAAGGTACTTGAGAATGTTCCTATCAAGCACATTGGACAGTCTGAAGATATAGCTAGCATTGTAAGCTATCTCGCATCGAAGAAAGCGCATTTCATTACCGGTCAGTTCATGCCTTCATTGCGCCCGTCTTTTGCTTATGTAGCAGTATAATCCCGTATAATGCAAGAAGGTGATTAGGGGGAGAAGAGAAATCGAAAGAACTGCAATGCACACACAAATCCGTCATTTCAATACCCGAGAGCCCCACGCCACGGAGCGTGCGCAGTATTCGAGCAGGACAAGATTTCTTACTGGAAGTTTAGAAAGTTGACGCTGGTAAGCTGCACGCAGTTAGTTGTACTAGCTTAGAGTGTAAGTAAATTGAGTGTTGGAATTGCCACCTTGCGGTCGACATATCCAGGCATCTGTGGATAGGACATTGAAGGTCTGCGTGACAAATTTTCGCATGCGTAACGGGAGATGCACTTACTTAGCAGGAGGGGGTCCTTTTGCGATACACCTGTTGCTTGTATAGTTGATTCATGTGCAGGTATAGATATTACACGTATTATCTTATATATATGAGTGTCGCTTGTCCCAATCCTTGTCCGATTTAGCGCAGGGATAGTGTCAATCACGGACAAGTACTCACGAGTAACTACAGCGGCTCATGGGCTTTCACTGACCCACCAGATCTCTTTCATTTTCCAGACGAGCCAGAGTGCCAGAAAAGAGCCAACGATATACAATATTATCCGCATTTGTCTGACGCCGCCTGCGCCGGAGAGGCCGAATGCTTGCGCAGCTCGCCGAGAGGACTGAGACAAGGACGTTGAGAAACTAGAGAAAGCGTTTCCCTATATGCATATATTAATATTTCAAAGCGAAGAGGAGAATCATCAAGGTACTGTATCATCCAGAGTCAGATGTTGTCTTTCGGCATCGTCGTAAATGTCTGTGGTAACCTGGAAGACTGTTTAGAGATTTGTAGAAATTAGGGGGCATGAATCATACTCCACGAAGTGTGCGTATCTTCGAATGTAACTCATCTAGTCGCTGGTCATTCTGTGCTTCATAGGTATCTTCTGTAGTTCGTGACGAAGACATGGAAGGATTGTAAAGGAAAGCTAGCGTGGGAAACTGTACAACAATGCGTTTCTTCTCCAACACATTTGAACTTCGGGCGTACTCACAACATCTGTACATGATGCATCAAGGCAATACACTGTTACCTTCCCGCAGACATGGTCCACTAGTATTCTCCATGCGCACGAATCTTCGAGTCATTCAAACAAAATCTCGCCTTACAGGATGAAGTTGAGGCGGATTACCTTGATCAGGCTCTGCCGAACATGAATAGCCTGGTACTACTAAGATATTCTTTGTCTTGGTTTCAGCCGCACCTCAGTGCTCGTTCCAAAAAAAAAGAGAATTGAAAGATACAAAAAACCTTGCTCTGTAAGTGCACCCGTCATTGCCCCTTGTCACAAGACTGGATGACCAAACCTTTTGCAGATTCTGTGGTTGCATTGCGCTGCGCAAGTGATCTGTGGGTTCGTCTGGTCAGTTGGTCGTGTGATTATCATGTAGGTATATAATTTGTCGCATCTGCGACAAGCTACATCAAGACACCATCAACATGTCCATTTAAAAGGGTGTTGCTCTCATCACCGGTCCTGCTCAAGGCATTGGTCAGGGAATTGCGCTCCGTTGGACCAGAAGCTTTGATGTCGCTCTTAATGATGTCGCCACCGAATATCATCAGCTTATTTGCGATAGGATTTGAAACCTTGAGAGAAAGACGTTCATCGTCTCCGAGGAATATGCAAGTCAAGAAAATGGTTACCTCCGCTGTAGAACACACTTAGGAGGTTGTATGCTGTATGTCCACGGTCTCCATGAGTACAACTGGATTGACAGTATGCTGACTGCTATTCATCAGATGGTCGCAGTCCGTTCCTGTCAAGGTGTGTTTTTCCGCCGCCCTTCCTACCTATTGTCATGGGTTGCTTCAGCGAATGATGTCTGGAACCGGACAACCCATTTCATCTGCCTTAATTTTGTGACCAGTTGGGGGGTTTCAAGTACCGCCGCCGCGCATTGCGCCAGCAAGTTAGTCATTTGCGGTTTGACGTGGTTTGACGCAATCCGCCGGTAGGTACTCAATGTTCTGAATAGGGTTACCGTGACGAAGAGATTTCCAGCTCTCGAACTCGGCAAATACGGCATCACTGTGAATTTGCATGCACCAAGTCCGATGCGTGTGTCAGCATTGACACCAATGCATCGTGAATGGACGTCACGTACATCAAATGGGTCTCGTAGATCGTTCTGGAACATTGGCTTTGGATGAGACGGAGAAAAAACACCAGATCCACATTGCTCAAGTACGAGATTGTTCGTTGTATCGTATCTCATCATCGACGTAACACGTACAGATGACTGGAAGCCGAAAGCACAATAGTGTGCCGGAGCATATCACGGTATCGTAAGTTACCTTGCATAGAAAGAAGCACACTTCATTACTGGTAAATCCTTTGTCACGATAAATCGGGATGTAGCTCATTCAGTCCGATTTCACAGGACAATGCGTAGGAACTGTATTGATAAAACTAGATGCTTATTGAGCCTCCAGACCTCAATAGACGGAGGTGTTGTCCTTGTCGTAATTTTCCGTGTCATTCGATGATCCTATGAACAATCTCCCTGGTACGTGTTTGAGAAGTCACTTTTGGCTGAAAATCGTTAGTCCCTGTAGTTGCAAGCTCATGAGCAGAAGCCTGCTACACACGTTGATTGTGGGTGCACAACAGCAACTAGCCTATTTCCGAAGCAGGAATGACAAAGATTCTCGCAGGGTTTGGTAACTCGTCGTAATGGCAGAGTGATACCCATGAGATGCTTACGCCACATGGTACTACAGCCATTTTACGGCCAAAAACCTTCCAGACAAGGCTTCATCCATTACCGTCGGAGTCTCTGACCAACCTTTTGGTCATAACCTGCACCCCGGAACGGCTTGAAATCACCGGTAGCATATAGGTTACTACTCCGAAGCACACTTAATGGCACCGATGGAGCACAAGTTTCCGGACCATTCATGACACAGCCCACGCAAGCTAACGTCATAATCATTGTCATCGCGATTAACTTCTACGGCGAGGGATATTCCAAGAGTAGTTAGTGTCTTTTACCTGCAAGCGAGATGAAAGGAGCTATCATTCCTGTAGCATATATAATCCGACTGTACCACTTTCATCGATCTAGCAAGCCCATCACCTTCTACCATAACCATGTCGTCTCAAAAGGGGATCGCACTCATCACAGGATCTGCTCAGGGCATCGGTCGCAGTATCGCTCTGCGGCTTGCGAGGGATGGCTTCGACATTGCCTTGAACGACCTCCCTATGAAAAGTGACCAGCTCGCTGCCGTTGCCAGTGAAATCGAGGCATTGGGGCGCAAAGCGTGTATCGTGATCGCGGATGTGACAATCGAGGAGGAAGTCAAGAACATGATCAACGACACCGTAAAAGAGCTGAGCGGATTGGATGTGGTAGGACCCTGAGCTTTCATTCCTGGAAGCTTGCTTATAGTGTCTCCACAGATGGTCGCCAATGCTGGCATTCCAGGAGCCAACACCGTCTTGGCAAGTAAGCTCGGTGGTTGTGTTTGAGTGTGCGCTGCAATCTCATGACATCCGGTGTAGCCACTGTTGAAGACTGGGAGCGTACATTCACCGTTAACGCCCGCGGAGTCTTCTTGTGTTATAAACATGCCGCAGTACAGATGATATCTCAGGGTCGCGGCGGTAGGATCATTGGCGCAAGTTCAATCGCCGGCAAGATCGGTGACTGATATTTCGCGTTGAGTCGAACTCGAAGGGCTGATATGAACGCTGTCTGCAGGATTTCCATCAGCTGCTGCATACTGCGCTAGCAAGTTCGCTGTCCGCGGATTGACGCAGACGGCTGGTGAGCAGAAACGTCTTTGATTGTGAATGATCACTGAGTCTGGCCAAGCTCTTGAGCTTGGAAAATATAATATTACAGTCAACGCCTATGCGCCAGGTGTCATACAAACTCAGATACGTACGTTCCACGTGAACATAGTATGTAGTTTGAAGCTGATCACTTTCGTAAATTCAGTGGATAGCATTTCTGACCAATCAGGGAATATGAGCCTGGCAGATGAAGATTCGACGAATTACCTTGCTCAGGTTTGTTCGCTTCATGCTCACGTGCCTCTATACCGTTGGCTCACGCTGCGCAGCTAATCGGGAACCGGCCGATCAAACACAATGGCCAACCAGAGGATATTGCAAGCATTGTCGGTTATTTGGCATCAAAAGAGGCGCATTTCATTACAGGTGAGCTCTCATTTTGTTGTTCATTCCTTGCAGCTTGTTTGACACTGCAACAGGGCAATGCGTAAGTGCACAGTGCTGGCCACCTAACTTTCAAGGTATTCACTACACTGCAGATTTCTGTCGACGGAGGCATCGTTTTGTCTTAGCAAGTCAGACGTCTTCCAAACACAATGTACTAAAAGAAGGAACAAATGTATCTTTCAAGAAGTACTCGCTCGAGAAATACCGAACATGACGGGTCAGATTGACATCTGTAGTTCAAACCCAAGTCTAAGTATCACGTATCATACCAATTTCACACACTTCATTCTGTTCTAAAGTTCTGCTGATGTGCCGCAGTCACGTTAGTATTTTGCAAGTCCGCACGATGAGGAGATATGGGGCTACCTTACGCCGTGAAGACCGTCCCAGACCCTTCCCTCCTGTATGAATTTCCCACGCCCTGGGGGTATCGTAATTTATGTGGTAAGTACCAACAACAAACAAGCAATGAACGTTAATGAGCATGTATTGCCAAAAAACCATCCTAGGCATCGTACAAACGAGCGGATACAGTTTTGAGATCTTGAAAACAATCATTTGTGTTCCTATGAGCGCTGGTATTACTAATACTGCTGCAGAACCAATCTACCTCGGAAGCGATCAAGCAAACCAATGAAACTATCGCAAATGGAATCGGCTGCGGTGATGAGAACGTTGAAATGAGACAAGTTCCCATTGATCGCAGCTATTGAAACTGCATTCGAAGTTCATGAACCCTGTTCAGAGTGGCTCATGTGCGGAGAACGCGAAATAACACGGTTCTTTACTTGAAGTGTGCTGCGGGGGGGGCGAATTTTGATGGTCAGACGAGGGTTTAGTGTAGAAGGTACCGCATCTTGGCTATCACTCATCAGACAAACCTCACGGACGCTTACCAAGCGATACAGCGGATGTCGATTGTATATTGAGCGACAGGTGTCTGTTGGTTCAGAGTCAGAGATGAATGTCAATACTATGACACCGCTAGACACATGTAGTATAGCCAGATGATGTGACATGATAGACAATATCAAACGTTCATCAACCTCGTTGTCGATGGCGTCAGACTGGAAATTGGAGAGCTTCCAATTGGCCTCGACCAAGTCTCGATTGGCTCGATTATGCGTCTGTCATCACTTTCCACAATCTAAGATCATCTATATTTGATACAGTAATATACGTTTGATGCTCGAATTTTGAACCCAACAGGAACCGTTTTGATACCCCCTCCCCTTGCATTTCCCGAGTGGGTACCTCATGACGGCACCTGTAACGTGCAATACGCCGCCCATCTAAGAGGTTTGCTAAATTTAGCAATTTTCCCTTCATCAGAATATTATCTTTCGGGCGCTTCCCAAGGGCCAAAACGCTCAGTATACCAGGTTGTCTTAGTTCAACTAGACTGCTTTCGTGCAGCTCTCCCCGGCAGCCCTTGAACAGGGCGTTCCTTTGAAAAGGCATCCCTGCACCTGTTATCAATTTGTGGTCCGCATTTGTTTGTTTTCCCTTGGTTTATCTCATTTCAGCAGACACTTCAACTTGAACTGTATCATTGATTTGCCGTCGGAGGTAAATTCTAGAATCCTTGCTTAACTTGAAAACCTTAAAAGTCGGAGTGCAGAAGGGGGGGCCTTCGGCCTACTTTCCAGACATCACTCTAGGAGTGCTGGCGCCTGGATCTTCAAGTCAACCTCATGTACACTGCCCTGAGGGCCGCGTGTACCTCTCGGGTGAAGTTGCCTGTTTCTT